ATCCGTGTAAATTAGAATCAAGTTAAGAAGAATTTTTTGTAGTTTGTAACATTTGCAAATAATGTAGAAAGAGCTACATTAGAACCTGAAATTCTCCTTGGAAAAAAGAAAATTATGTATCGGAAGATATTGTAGGCAGCCCTCTTTGGGCGCGGTCCTAAAAAGCATTAAATAAAAAAAAACATTTTCCATATTTCATTCTTCTTTGCCAAATTAAAAAAAAGAAAAAGAAAAAGAACCGCTAAGTTGAATAAATCCGAAAGGGCGGCTTAAGGCAAAAGGGGGTAAGCTCGGCTAAGCTGAAAATCCCAGAAAAGGACGCTAGGCAGAAAAATTAAGAGCCTGAATAAATAAAGTGGGCAAATGCCTTGGAAAAGTTCAAAACGCCCTTGCAAGTCGAAAATAAATTAATCCAGAATCAAGCAAGAGAGTCCAAAAATAACTAAAGAAAGTGTAAAGCATACATCAAAAGATAAAAAAAAAAAAAAAAAAAAAAAACATGCATCCAAAAATCCAAAGTCCAAGTCCCAAATAAAAATAAGGGAAAAACAATAAAAGTCCAAAAACCTATAGGAGTATAGGTGTCCCGTCGCTCCGTGGGGCAACATCCTCCGATTCATCCCTAGCTGTTAAACTCTGTCCAACCTCGCCTGTCCGAGGAGCCAACACAATCTCCTCCCCAATCCCAACCTCATCATCAGCGTCAGCTTGAACCCAGACAGCGGCAATGAACCAGGTTCGATACTGAGGAGAAGTCTGAACACTGGCAGGATTAGGTAAAGGCGTAACCATGTGATGATCTCTAACCCAAGCCCTAAGGACGGTTCGGGTAACACCCGGAGTGATGGTTGAATCAGCTGAAATGTCATCCATAATCGGAAATCATTCATAATGGGGACAGTCTTGATCTAATCCCCATCTGCCTCAAGAAACGCGCGAAGCGCAAGTACCCAAGTGCAAAGTGGGTAAGGCTAGGAGGTAAAACCCCCGAGAAGGCGGAGCTGACCTGAATAAAGACGGTTGAATATTGTACCAAGGAATGAACCACAGTATCTCCATTTGAACCCAATTCAACCAGCAACGAAAAGTCCATGGTTTCCAGTAGAAAAGCGGTGCGGAGATCTAAGATGTTTCGGGCATGCAATACTGGGAAGGAATTGTAAGGAAGGGGGTAGGAGCAGCCACCACTGAAGATGATCCCTCAAACCAAACCAGTAATGGATCTTTTCTATTAAAAGAAACAAATTAAAAAGAAGAAGAGGAATGAGGTAGGATAATAGGGAAGAAATACCTGGAGAATGATGGGAGAAACAGTCCAATCATCGAACCCTAAAGCGGCTTTGTCAAGGCTTCTAATGGTCTCTGCCAGCACAACAAATTCATCAATCAGGGGCAGCAGAATCGCCTTCTGATCATCCACAATCATAGCCTTAGCCTATGGCCGGCTAAACCGAAACAAGTTCTCAAAAGACTTAACATACCCAACTTTCACCTCGTGCCTAACCAAGGGAGCATTGGGATCACACCCTATAATCGCAAAAATTCCTCAAAAAGAGGGCACATTTCCTCCATCATATCCCCAAATCGAAAAACGTGAGCCTCAGGATCCCAAAGCTAATACAGGCTCGCAAAAAGTCCCAGTCAACTACTACGCCCCTAAGAGTGATAACAGGAGAAATTTCGTACCTCCCCAAATTGATCTTTTCAACTTCAAAACTCCTGGTATGCAATGCTATGGTTGTGAAAAGGATTCATGTTTTTTATTTATTTATTTATCCTGTTTTTATTAAATTAAAAAAAATATAATAAAAATAAAATAAATAAAATAATAATAAGTAAAAAAAGAGGGAGAACTAACAAAAGCTGTTTTGAATCCGAAGAGTTAGAATGAAAAGAAAAGGGGCTGAAAAACATGCCTTTTTATATTCCGTACCTCCCCAAATTGATCTTTTCAACTTTGGAGAGACTCCTGGTCCAGCTATGCATGCTATGGTTGTAAAAGGGATTCATGTTTTTTTTATTTATTTATTTATCCTGTTTTTATTAATTAAAAAAATATAATAATAAATAAAATAAATAAATAATAATAAGAAAAAAAAACAAAAAAAAGGGGGGCAAGGTGTGTTTTTTTTTTAAAATTGGATTCTCTTCTGTTCAAATCTAATAAACATGCATACTTTCAGTATTAATCAAATGCAGGTACAAATAAGTTAAGTACAGAAGTACAGGCCAAGATTCGGTATAGGAAAATAAAGAGGAAAGAAAATAAAGGAAAGCAAGGAAGTCTAGCAGCTATTAGCGGCGAGACCTCCTCCTCCTCCGGTCGTCAAAAGCCTGCAGTGTCCAAGCTGAAGTTAGGTCCAAGCTGAAGTTAGTTCCTCCTGCATTCCAAGGATTAGCTCCATCATTTGACTGATCAAGCCGTCAGGAACCTGGAAGTCACACAAAAAATATATATATAAGTCAATATACAAATCTCTTATAAATCTTTTTTATGAGAGATTTATCAGTCATTACCTCATTAATGTCATCAGGAGGAAGAGCCAGGCGATTCACACGCTCCAGGGACACCTCCCGAAGAGACGAAAAGTTACCCTCAGGAGTGTAATAGGAAATGTTGTTATGGAAGGTGCAAATTGGCCTGGTAGCCTCTGAAATTTAGCCTGGGGGAATCCTTTGAAGGCACCAGCGCTGCTTGGGCCAGCTCGAGACGGACCCTCCACCGGAGTTAGAAGAAGCAAGGACGGGACGTAGCCTCCTTCCTTGGAGTCCTGGCCGAGAGCCTGAAAGCCCGAGAGGAACGGGTGCCGAGCGGGCTGGAAAAGGGGTCGACTCAGGAGGACTTGTCAAGCCTAGAGCGATGGGCCGCAGATGGGCCGCATCAGAAACACCTGGCAGAATTCGTCATAATCTCCACCCCGGATCAATTCCATGTGCGGGATACCCTCAGTATGGACATCTGTAAGAACCATCTGTTTGCCCGCTCGCATGTCCTTTGGGGGAGGAAGAGGAACGGAGCCGCAGCCCCTAACCTGGAAGTCCACTCGCTCACCCAGGTAGTAACGTCTCAGAATAGGATGGGATAAGACAAACCGCCGCCGAGACAGAGCCTCTGATCGCCTGAAATGGGGATCCGCCTCAATCCAATGTTGGAGTCGGATGCCCATCGCCCCTACTCAAGCCTGTGATAAGGGAAAGGCGAATGGTTAATTAAAATCTGTTATTTTTCACACGACCCAAAGGGAAATTAAGGAGGGCACTCGCCTTCTCTTATGGTACAAGTATCGAAGAAAGCTTCGCCAAAATCCCCTAAGACTTCTGGCGTAGAATAGACTGGCTGATTAGCTTGGTGTCCATCTCCAAGCCCAAAAGGTACCAACCCTCAGCCCAAGTTATCAGTATGAGTTCAGCTCTGGGCGGAGTGTGAATACCTTTCAAATTTTTTGGAGGGCTCAAAGAGCCCACTTTTTTTCGGACTCAAACAGTCCGGTCAGGACCGGAGGTCATTCAAAAAATGATTTCGCCAGAAGTGTGCCAATATGGTACTTGAAATGTCCGAAAATTACGAGGATCATGGAACTGGTCTACGGAAATATTTTTTGGAGGTCCGGAACTCCCGAAAAAGCCTCCGGAACGAAATTAAGAAAAGAAAGAAGGCACACATCCGCCCGAGGGAGTAGGGCATGCCCACGAGGATCACGGAACTGGTCTCGGAATATTTTTTGGAGGTCCGGAACTCCCGGAAAAGCCTCCGGAACGAAAAAAAGAAAAAAAGAGGGGAAAAGGCACACATGCCCGCCCGCGGGGGTGGGCATGCCCGCCCAGGCCAGGCGGGTACGCCCGCCCAGAATGGGCGGGCACGCCCCCCCAAGCCAGGCGGGCATGCCCGCCCAAGCCAGGTGGGCGCGCCCGCCCTTGAAGGCGGGCAGGGGCGCCCGGGGTCGCGTTTTTTTTCTTATAAAAAACGGCTCTGGGGCTCCGTTTTGAGACACTCAGTCTGTGTTGACAGACGCTCCTTCTCCCTCACGCTCTTTGCGATTCTTTTGCATTTTTTTTAATTTTTAGTTTTATTTTTTATTGTTGTGATTAACTTGGTCACTTAAAATTAAATCCAAATTAAATTCGCTTAACGAGGAGCTTAACCGGAGTTAAGAAAGCGGTCGACGATTAATTCAGGTACCATGAACTAACTCTGCCTAATTTAATTTTGCCTATTTAATTTTAGCACGTCATGCATGCTTCTTTTCTACTCCTAATAATTCTACAACTGCATAAATGCATCCATGCCATCATTAGGCAGACAAATTGCCTCAATTAAATAAATTTAGGCTAAATGCCCGATTAATTAATAATCGCGGTATTAAGGCCTAACTCCGACAATATTGGCTCAAAACACCTAGTTAATTAATAGCTATGGTGTAATCGCCTTTATTTCAAACAAATCCTTCTTAAGTCCAATTAATTAATAATTGTGGCTAAAAGCCTTAATTGATCACGTTTTGGCAACAAGTTGCCTACAATTAAATCGATCTTTTGGCAAAATGCCTTAAATTAATCAACTTATTTTTGGCCAAAAAGCCTTAAAATCAATCATTTGGCGACAATCGCCCAATCAACATCATTTTGACAATTAAATTTGCCTAAATCAATATTTGGCTTTAAACTTTACAAATAATCACTTTTGGCGACAATCGCCTAAATTCAACATTTTTTTGGCAACATTGCCTAATTTCAAATCTTTTTTGGCTAAAAAGCCTTAAAATCAACACTTTGGCAACAAAATGCCTAATCAAATCAATCAATTCTTTTGGCAAAATGCCTTAAAACAAAACCAATGGCCCCCCCCCACCACCCCCCCCAAAAAAGGGGGGCATTAAAACACACACTCATGCAATAAAGCACCCTCATTCAAAGCCCTCTAAAAGAGGCCTAATCGGAAACTACGTTGACTTTGGATTCTTCCATTCAAACGGAAGTAGGTAGGGCACGTTCTGGATTTTTCACCCGGGCGGCAAGTCGGAAATCACATAAACATTTTTCATTGGTTCCTGGGGATCAGCCTCAATCCAACGTTGGAGTCGGGTATTCATCGCCCCTACCTCAGCCTATGTAAGGGAAGCAAATGTGTTAATAAATCCTTTATTTTTGCACACGACCAAGGGAAATTAAGAGGGCACTCGCCTGCTCTATGGTACAAGTATCGAAGAAGCTCCGCAAATCCCCTAAAGACTTTTGGCGTAAAACAGACTGGTGATTAGCTCGGTACCATTTCCAAGCCAAAGGTACCAACCCTAGCCCAAGATCAGTGCGGGACAGCTCAGGGCGGATGTAGGGAAAATACTCAAAAGCCCAAGTCTGCAAAACGAAGAAAAGGATCAATAATAAAAAGGGGGGGAAAGAAAAGGAAAAGACAACACAGAATGAGGATATGCTCTTTACATTACCTCCCGGAAATAGTAGGTCCCGCTGAGCTTACAGTGGCCTCGACTCAGATCGCACATATCATCATACATGCAGCTCAGAATAGCACCGGCCCAGTCGTACTACTCAGTAAGATGGGGCCAAGTCCTTCAACTCTTCAGAATTAGAGGGATTAAACTTCTTCTTTTCTGTTAGAAATTTCTCCTTCCTGTTAGACCAGAAGGTCGAGGCAAAAAGCAGCAACAGAGTGAATCTAGCTGCCTGAGTGGCCATTAACTCTCCCTGCCTGTGTCTGGCATAAATGTCGGGGGCTTGGAGGGATAGCCAGTGTCTCGAAATACTCAGAACAGGGGCAGAAGAGCTAGGATTTACAATTCGAGGCAGATCAATCCCTAGCAGCTCCGTCATCCGATCGGGGGTGACCTCAGTCCTCCAATCGTCATATAGCTCGATCAGCTAAGTACCAAAAGGAATCCCGGAAAGCACCGAAAAGTCGGTCGGGGTCATCGTCATCTTACCCAAAGAGAAATGGAAAGTGTTGGTGGTGTCCCACCATCTCTCGGCTAGTGCACCCAGTAGGCTTTTATAATTCTGTCTACTCAGCTCAAGGTGTCTTAAAAAGTCCAGATGAGAGGGACCGATGATGGCTCCGACCGAGTTGTTATGGTCGAGAATGTCAGTCGGGATCTCGGCAATAGAAGACTCGCCTACATCCAGCCTAATGTTTGGATCCTAAAAGGTAAAATGGCACAACATTATTCTTTAGTTCTTTACTAAGGATAATGTCTCTTTTCTCCCCTAGCATGCATACTAATAAGACGGTAAGTGCAGGAAAATAAAATTTGTGCACAAAAAGAAGTCAATTACAATTAACAATTTTGGCCTAAGGCCCAAAAAATCACAATTTGCCTTAGGCCAAAGAAGAAATCACAGTTTGGCCTAAGGCCCAAAAAAAAATTACATTTCGGCCTAAGGCCCAAAATCACAATTTGGCCTAAAATAATGGTGACAATATGCCAACAAAGCAAAGCGTACCTGGGGCAAAGACGACCGGTCATAGAAGCGTTGAGTATCAGCATCCGCCATGAGATCGACATCACTGAAAAGATTCTCCAGAGACTCCAGCAGATCCTCGTCGCTGCCTTAATCGGAAAGAAGCCATGATGAGAGATTGTGGAGAATTTGGAGAGAGAGCCTTAGAGTAAGAGGATGGAAATGAATGAAAAAAATGAAAGTTTAAGCTATTTATAGAAGAAAAAGGAGCCAAAAGGCGGGTCTTCTTTGGACGCGTCTGTTTTTCGCCTCAAAATTTGTGTTTCAGACAACCCACCGGACTCCCATAAATTCATTTTTATGGTCAGCGGGTGGGGTGGCAGCTTGTGAATACTCAAATTTTTTGAGACTCAAAGAGGCCATTTTTTTCCGGACTGCAAACGTCCGATCGGACCGTGGAGTCATTCAAAAAGGCTTCACCGAGTGTGCCAATATTGGTACTTGAAAATGAAATATCCGAAAAATTATCGAGGATCACGAGAACTGGTCTCGGAATATTTTTTGGGAGTGTCTGAGAAACTCCCGGAAAAAGCCTCCGAACGAAAAAAAAAGGAAAAGGGGAAAAAGGCACACGGTTGCCCGCCCAGGCCAGGCGGGCACGCCCGCCCAGAATGGGCTTGGCACACCCGCCCAAGCCAGGCGGGCATGCCGCCCGGCATGGGCTGGCACCCCGCCCAAGCCAGGCGGGGCATTGCCGCCCAGGCTTGGGCGACGTGCCCGGCCCAGACCAGGCGGGGCATTGCCCGCCCTCGAGGCTGGGCGGGGCGCCGGGATTCACGTTTTTTCTATAAAAAACGGCTTCTGGGGGCTTCCGTTTTTGAGCCTCAGTTCTGTGATTGTACGACGCTCCTTCTCCCTAAACGCTCTTTGCGCGATTCTTATTACTGCTTTCTTGCATTTTTTTTTAATTTTAGTTTTTATTTTATTGTTTGTTTGATTACTTGGTCACCTTAAAATTAAATTAAAATAATTCCCTTAACGAGGAGCTTAACCTGGAGTTACAGAAGCGTGGTCGACGATTAAATTCAGGTAACATTGAACTAAACTCTGCCTATTTTAATTTAGCACATTTCATGCATGCTTCTTTTACATCCTAATAATTCTACAAAACTGCATAAATGCATCCATGTCATCATTAGGCAAACAAATGCCTCATTAAATTAATTTTAGCCTTAATGCCCGGGTTAATTAATAATCGATGGTATTAGGAGTCTTTAAAATCTGACAATATTGGCTTTAAAATATTCTAAGTCTATCAATTGGCTATGGTATTGATTTGCCTTTATTTCGAACAATTTTCGCTTAAGTCCAATTATCAATTGATTGTGTCTAAAAGGCCTTATTTAAACACGTTTTCCTTGGCAATAGAATTGCCTAAATTGCCAAACCAATTAATCACTTTTGTGTTTAAACAAATGCCTATAAGTGAGATTAAATCTTTTTTTTAGCGGACAAAATCGCTTAATCGTTATTTTTGGCTAAAAGCTTCAAATTAATCCTCTTTTTGGCTTAAAGCCTTTAAAATCAATCATTTTTGGCGACATCGCCTAAAATCAATCATTTTGGCAATCAAATTGGCCTAAATCACTCTTTTTTGGCTTAAAAGCCCTTTAAATCAATTCATTTTGGCGACAATCGCCCATCAACATCCATTTTGGCAATTAAATTGCCTAAAATCAAATTTGGCTTTAAATGCTTTTCAAATAATCATATTTGGCGACAATCGGCCTAAAATCAACATTTTTTGGCAACAATTGCCCTAAATCAATCTTTTTGGCTAAAAGCGCTTAAAATCAAACACTTTTGGCAACAAATGCCTAATCAAATTTCAATCAATTCTTTGGCAAAATGCCTTAAACAACATGCACAAACGCATACACACACTTTTTCATGCATTTAACAGCATCCTCATTCAAAGCCCCTCTAAAAGAGGGCCTATCGAAACTTACGTTGACTTTATCTTCCATTTCCAAACGGAAAGTACGTAGGCACGTAGGGATTTTAACCCGAGCGGCAAGTCAAAATACATAAACATTTTTTCATTGGTCCCAATTACATCATCTTTCACCCTTGCAAAGCATTCGTCCTTTGGTTAGTTCATTCCAGCATGACATAGTCTCAGGATCCACCTCGGGTTCGTATAGACCATGCCTTAAACATTTGGGATTTAATTAATCTAAAGTAACTTAGGTTAATTAAAATTGGAGTCACTTAGGTTTTTTCCTAGTTTACCCTAAAACAATTTAAAACAAGGTGGCCGGACTCATACATTCACGTTGCATTTTCTGCCATCAGTCACATGCATTCATATGGCCATGATATTCGGGGTAGGGTTTTCATAATGCTATCAAGGCTCTAGAGGCCCTAAAACAATTAAACAAGGTGGCGACTCATACATTCACGTGCATTTCTGCCTCAGTCACATGCATTCATATGCCATGATATTCGGGGTAGGGGTTCATAATGCTATCAAGGCTCGAGAGGAGCAAGATGCTCAGGACATGATAGTGGGTACTTTCTCTATCTTGGGTACTTCAGTTCATGCATTGATTGATCTAGGATATTCTCATTCATATGTGTATATGCATCTGAGTGTATTGGGCACTCTTGAGGCTAATGTGTTAGAATAGGATATAGAGGTAACTAATCCTTTGGGTCACAGTGTGATAGTTAATAGAGTTTATAAAGATTGTCCATTAGTGATCCTTGATCACATATTTTTGGGAGATTTCATTAAGCTACATTTCTGAGAGTTTGATTTAATTTTGGGTATGAAATGGTTATCGAGGCATGGGGTTATGGTTGACTGTAGGCGTAAGAGGATTACTCTTCAGACATCCTCTAAAGAGGAGGTTGTGGTTTTAGGTGAGAGGTTAGATTTCCTCTCTATAGTTATTTCTGCTACTTTTGTTAGGAAGTTGATTCATTAGGGTTGTGTACCTTATTTAGCTTGTGTGCTTGAGCCAAAGAAGGAGACTCCTAGTGTGTAGGATATACTCACAATATATGACTTTGCTTATGTGTTCCTGAGGATTTGTCTGGGCTACCTCCTGAACAGGAGGTAGAGTTTAGTATAAAGATTGTCCCTGGTACAGCACCTATCTCAATTGCTCTATATAGGATGGCTCCCGCGGAGTTGAAGATTCAAATTCAGGAACTACTTAATAAGGGTTTCATTCACCCTAGTGTTTCTCCACAGGGTGCTCCGGTGTTGTTCGTCAAGAAGAAAGATGGATCCATGAGATTGTGTATTGACTACAGGCAGCTGGACCAGGTTAATGTGAAGAATAGATATCCATTGCCCCGAATTCATGATCTATTTGACTAGTTGAGGGGAGCTAGTGTCTTTTCGAAGATAGATTTGAGATCTGGCTACCATCAATTGAGAGTTAAGGATTCGAATGTACCTAAGACTGCTTTTAGGACTCGATATGGGCATTATGATTTCTTAGTTATGCCATTCGGGTTGACTAATGCTCCAGCTATATTTATGCATTTGATGAATCAGGTTTTTCACCCTTATTTGGATCAATTTATGATAGTATTTATAGATGATATTTTGGTGTATTCTCATATTGAGGCAGATCATGATCGTTATCTGAGGATAGTATTGTAGATTTTGAGAGAGAAGCAATTATATGCTAAATTCAGCAAAATGTGATTTTTGGTTGACTGAGATATCTTTTCTCAGTCACATTATCTCGGTGGAGGGTATTAAAGTCGATTGGAAGAAGATTAAGGCAGTGCTTGATTGGAACCCACTTAAAAATGTTACCGAGATTAGGAGTTTCTTAGGTTGGGCAGGTTATTATAGGCTGTTTGTCAAGGGATTTTCTCAGGTTGCTACTCCATTGACTAAACTACTTCATAAGGATGTGAAATTTGTATGGGATGATAAATGTTAGGCCAGTTTTGACAGACTAAAGAGGCGGCTCAATTCTAATTCAGCCTGAGTCTCGTAGAGCGTACGATGTATATAGTGATGCTTCCCATAATGGATTGGGTTGTGTGATTATGCAAGATGGGAGGGTAGTTGCTTATGCATTGAGACAACTTAAGCCATATGAGAAGAACTATCCTACTCATGATTTAGAGT